CCAAGAGACCTTGAGGAGGACCCTTACATTTGTGTCAAGGGCTGCCTAAGGCAGTGTACGAACGACTTGCCACCAACGGATCGTGGTCCAATTGACGGGGCATCAATTTCATCCGTCAATGGACACTTATAATACTTGGAAAAGACTGGATTTTAACCAGTCTCTGACCAAAACGATAGACCAACCAGGACGGAGGGTCCTGTGGTCGTCCATTGACAAACGGGGCGTGGACGGGGAGTCGTCATTCATGCACTGTTTTTGCTGCACGATTTTAAGTGAGTTAAAATAATTAAATAGGTAGTTAGTTAATTAGTTAGGGATTAAGAAAGGTCTAATTAAGTTAATTAACAACCTATATAAAGACCCTAACCTAATTAAACTAACCTAACCCTCATAATTCCCAAACCCAAATAGCTCCTCCTTCTCTCCGCTTTCTCTCTCCCAAGAAGAAGAACACCATAGAAGGTAAAATTCAAGGAGGTTATAGGGATGAAAACTCAAAGTTTCTCCATCAATCTTCATCAAATATCAAGTTACGGGATTCGTTTCACCTTTGGTATCTCATTCCCCAAAGGGTTCTTCCAAATTGTTTAAAAAAAGTAGAGTAACACCATTGTATTTAGTTACATATATTAATATATAAAAAAAAAATTGAATTATAACGTGATATTTATAATAAAATTTAATACCGAGCCCAATTTATGCAATCATATGTTTAAACACAACTATGTATGACTAATGAAATCTTTTAGGCATAATATTATTTGTATACCTATTCTATGATAAAAATAACCTCCCTCCCAATGATTGGTTGTTCATTATCTATCACCGATCTAATTTCTTTATAATTTAGCACTAATGCTTATGAACCATTCCCATAGGAACCTAACGTGCCTGTCAAATTGAAAGAAAAAGAAATCAACCTTTACCACAATGTTGACCTAATTACTTCTACCAACATATAATATAATTATATACAAAGATCACCATGAAATCATATGTATATACGAATTAAAGGATCACCACAAATTTCTATCTCTTATCACTTAAAGGGTAAGGTTTTTTGTTCACGTTCGTCACCCGAACAAGTTTTCTGCCTCTTTTCTTTTCTAATTAAATTTTTTTAATTAAAATTGACAAATTCACTAACTTATTTTTAAGGAAAATTTTTCATAATGTCACTATTTTGTTATATAAAAGGACTACTCATTGTCAATACTTTCATTATTTAGTAAAAATGTCATAATTTTAGTCTATTATGTATCTTTTTAATTTTTTTAATTGTATAAATTGAAAGAATACAAATATTTAAAACAGAAAGGAGAAATTAAAGAGAGAGAAAAAAAAACTAAAGATGAAATTATTGCTTAAAACTCTAATCAGTTACAAAAAATTCAGAAATCAACCGACACTCCCGAAATCTTATGAATTCTCTCAACTTTTGATTTTCAAGATTTTCATACAAATTCGACGAGATAATTGCTTCTTCGTTATTCTTTTTCTAATTATTTATAATTGATATAATTGTTAATCGTATTCTGTTTTCGTATATTTGAAATTGATATGGTACGAAAAAAATTGAAAGTGTAATTGAAAATAATTGTAAATCATAGTGTTCATGTTTCGTATAATTGCAAACAAGTAGTCTATTTTCGTTTTCTGTTTTCGTATGTATTTGTTTTGATTGTAAATTGTATGAACTATGGATAAAGTGTGACTATTTGAATAAGTTGTATTCCTTAACGAAACAAATATGATCAATATAATGTATGTTGTAAGTGTTTGTTCTAAAATGGATACAGTTTCAATATTTGTTTTGTATACGTATATGTTAAGTGACTTCTATGAAATATGAAGAATTACTATTGTGAATACATAATATTTATTACTATGATGAAGTTTTGTTCATAACATGATGATTTTTATGTATGCAGTAAGTGATATTACTTGAATAAATTTTTGTTCATACCATGATGCAAGTACAATTGTGAATACATACGAATATACTGAATAAACACATCTAAATTCAAAATACAATGAGAATACACTAATACAACTAATATGTATTTACTTTGGACAAATAACATTACAATGTGTATATTTAATTTACGGATACAAACAAGGCTCACACAAAATACAACTATTATAAACACATCCGAATCCAAAATCACCCAAAATAAATTCATTAACAATGATCATATACCACAAATACAACAAATACATAAAAGTTCTATAGCATACAACACAAATTCAACGAAAGTTCATTAATAAAATCTGAAATATCATAGTCATGTAAAATGTATTCATAAATTATTGAATATCTACAAATATGAAAAAATATGAAGGAATGAATAAAAAATGATACATTATCAAAATTAACAAAAATTGATCCCAAAATACAACAATAAAATAACAACTGAATACGAAATACAAACTAATATATATTGCATAGTGTACATAACAAGAAATTTACAAATATATTCAATACACATTGTTGAACAAATTGTTCTTTGACTTCAACTCAACATGCAAAAATCTAAATATGCAAAAATATTATCCGACTTTCACCAAATAAGAATGATTTAAACAACAATAAAATCAGAAAATAAATCTAAAAAAAGAAGATAACGATGAAAATACCTTAATTAGATGAATTTATGTGAATCCAGATTTTGAAGATAAAAATATAACATTTCGGTAGAAAATAATAAGAAAATTGGGGTTGAAGAGAAGAAGGATTTGAAGGTTGAATAGGAATATGAACAGGAAAATATAAAGAGATTTTTTTTTTTACTTATGGGATAAATATGGAAGAGAGAGACATGGAAAAAATTTACAGATTTTGATTTTTTTTTGAAATAAAAATAATTTGGGAAACGTGAACTATGAATATACATGAGAATGTAAATAAATTAATTTTTTAGAAGATAAAATAGTGATTTAATTAGGATACATATTCATTTTCAAAATAATGACATTTTTGACATTTTAACTAATATTTTTAAAGTAGTAAATTTTTTACTAATTAAGTTGTTGATTTTGACTAGGTTGCTAATTTTTCCTATTTTCAATACATGGGCTTAGTGGTAAGGGTATTAAATGTGATATAGGCTTGACCCATTAATAATCAATTAATACAATGTTAATTATTTAATTAATAATTATCCACTAACTAAATAATCGTAGATGTCGAATAGTTCAAAATTTTCAAATAACTTTATCGACTAGTCAAAAATTTATCGAGTCAACTATTGAGAAGGGTAATATAATAATTTTAAAAAAATTTCTAAAAATGACAATCTTGGTCATTATATTACAAAAATACATCACACCTAATTATAATAACATTTTTCTACTTAAATTAGGATATAAACTTTTAGATTAAGAAACAATAAAATTGGCAATGACTAAATGAATAGGAATTTCTGATGATTATAATAATTAGTAATGAGGAATAATAAATTCATAATTATTAATCATAGTAATTTTTTTTACTTAATATCGTGTGAGCACTTTAACATTTTTTTATTTTTTCATATTATTGTTAGATTATTTATTATTTCATTTATTAAATATTACTTTATATGCGATCATTATTCATAAAAAAATTCCCATACAATTCTAAAAAATTGAAATGTTTTTGAAGTTTGTGCTATTATACCTCAATAATTTTATAGAAATATGTGAAAATGAATTATGTGTTAAAAACGTGTGTTTGTAAAATAAATATT